TTTTATTGGATTGAACATGAAGTCATGGCTCTAAACACCACAATTATTTGTGTCCGCAAGACAAAAGCAAAACACGAGATTGGACTTGTTGACCAACAACGGAAATGGGCGGCATGCATGCTCGCGTAAATAAAACTTTTTTTTAAACAATGTGTTTAAAGACCGTAATTCATTTTGGGGGAACAAACATCGTCAAGTCATTTCGCACGATTAATAACGGGTTAAGTCTTGAAAGTAAAACAAAATAAACTCGATGTTACCTCGGGAATAACGCGACGGTGATATTTTGAGCTGGAATGACGGCATTCCTACATATACCGTCAAAGCAAAATCTGCGTATTATTATCTGGTTATATTATTTTTTTACACGCATTGTATTTTCCACTAACTCGTTATTAGTCGCGCGAATGTGTATGTAGATATAGAGTTAAGGTGGTCAGCATTTTTTTTTGGTGGGAAACGGTCATATTTAAAAAAAACAAATCTAATTGTAGATTTGTGTTACGTTCGCCACCAAAAAAAAGGCGTAAAGCTGTCTCCTTTCTCGCCACCCGATCACGAATGCGTCCCGTTGCACGTTTCACAAGTACGTAAAGGGAAGAAAAAATACGGGTTTAGCGCAAGGGATCTCTTAAAAATCATTCTCGTAAAACCAAACTAAAATCTACTTCCCACAAAGCGCTTGTCAACTACGCCGACCCTCTTGCAAGTCTCAAAGACGCGAGAGTGTAATTTTGGAAACGTTAACTTGAGTTACATCTCTTTCCCCCGGTTCAAAAGAGCCGGACATAATATTAATCAAAGGACGCAGACCAGATATTGTCCATTCGTTCGTTACTACTACCAAAGGGTGACACACATTTTAGTCGCAGATACCCCAAAAACAAAGATGAAAAAAAATCTCAAAATCCAAGCATGAAGTCGAGCTGAAATCCATGACAAGGATCATGAAGTTTTTGTTGTTGTTAAAATTATCATCGAACATGCAAACTCGAAAGAAAAAAAAACCTCCACACACCACATGAAGGTGAAAATTGTGGACAACTCAATAAAAAAAATGATTCATGCAGACTTTTAAAGAACATTTCAAGCAGTCAAAAAAGTGACCTCCGCCCAAAACTTTCCCGACAGTCCGCTCAAACATTTTTTTTCAGGTGGCCTCGATGATAACTCTGGAGGGCAATCCCCGCCTGCACGTCAAGCTGTCCCACACAACAACCCGAAGAAGCATTTAGGGCAACAACAAAAAATTTCCCCCAAGGAAATGATCACACTTTTTTTTTTCAGAGAGAGCAGCACTTAAGAAAGAGGGGAAGGGCTCCACTACCAACTAAACCTTCTCCACCCTGGGAGGTGGCAGCAACGCACGGCTTTGCCATGACCCCCTCTCCTCGGCAGGACTTCTTATTGAGCGGGTGGCGGCGCGCTCGCGATCTCCTTCACCTCCTTCATCAGTCCAAGGCTGGACATGGTGAGGGCCGTCAAGCCATCTCGTACGCCCTTGAGGGTGTCATCCAGCTTGGCCTTCTTCGCCCGCTCAGCCAGCGCCGCCAGGTAGGCCCACATCACGCCGCGCTTGGACTCGATGAAGCCGCGCACCTTGATGATGAGCGGCGCCGATTCGTGCAGGTGGGCCGTGGCGCGCTCAATGCCGGCCTTGGCCGCCTGCAGGATGGGCACCAGCTTGGCGTTGGCCGCCTCGGCCATCTCCTCGGCGAGCTTGTGCGTCGTGACCCCCTCGGGGAGCGCCTTCGCCTGGAACTCCTCCATGAATTGCTCCACGAACTCGCGGGCCTCGGTCATGATGCCGTCCGCCTTGTCGCCGCTGACCGCCTCGCCGTAGCTGTGCAGCCTCTCGAGCGCCGTCTCCAGGTACGTCTTGCCACTGGCCGGCACCAGCTGCGTCTCGTCGGCTTGGACGTAGGCCGCCAGGACGAGCAGGAGGAGGCCTGCCGCGTGGGTCATCTTCATCGACAGCATGGTGGCGCTTGGAGTTGTTGGGCTGGTGGTGGTCCGGTCTCTCCTTTGACAGTGGCAACTGTCTGTGTGCAGAGAGGAGGTCTCGTTGGCTGCTGGAGAGCAAGAGTGGAGAGTGGTGGCGGTGGTGAGTGCTTATATAGGGATCGGCTGGTCCACCAGCTCCACGTGTTGACCAATTCCTCCTCCTCCCCCCAACCCACCCCCATCCTTGTCCTCATACAGGGCCGGGCCAAAGGGGTGGTAGCTGGAGGGCTCCCGTCACAAGAACGAGGAGGTCTGGCTGCCTGCCGCTTGGATACCGGCCAGCGGGAGCAAGCCAGGAAATTTTGTGGACACGGAGACACGAGGAGCTGAGATTGCATTGACAGGACATGGTCAAGGTACATTTGATGATGAGTGCAGAATGCGTACATGCATGTTCAGACATTCGTGCATACATAATCAGACATGCATGCATACATGCGCAACAAAAGACAAAGGCATACACACACGCAAGGCATCGATCCCCCGTATATCCTTGACAGCCCTTTTGGGGAAAGTGCTGTTTGTGAGCACCTATGATGACCTACACTGAGCACAAGGGGGTGGGTGGCCAGCACCACGCCCGGCCGCATCATCACGGTGGCTGTGAGATGTTAACTACCTCGCCTGGTATGCAAGAGCTCGTGGGTTCGATCCCGACCCTGACGCCTGCTGCTGTATATTTGGAGTTTGCGAGTCTCGCATCATCATCACGGTGGCTAGAAGATGTTAACTACCTCGCCTGGTGTTCAGGAGGTCGTGGGTTCGATCACGACCATGACGCCTGCTGTATATTTGGAGTTTGCGTGTCTCTCTCTCTCCCCATGGTCGCGTGGGTTTATCTCTGGGTCCTCCATTTTTTCCCTCCACACTTTCCCCAACAGTCTGTTAAGGCTATACGGGGGATCTTGTCTTTGTTTGTAGGGGGATCTGTGTAACGTGTGTGTGTGTGTGTAACGTGTGTGCCACGTGTGTGTGTAACGTGTGTGTGTGCTGTGTAAAGTGTGTCTGGAAGATGTGTGTGTGTAACAAGTGTGTGTGTAACGTGTGTGTCTGTAAAGTGTGTGTGTTAGTGTGTGTGTGTAAAGTGTGTGTGTAACGTGTGTATGTGTAACGTGTGTGTGTAAAGTGTGTGTGGTAGTGTGTGTAACATGTGTGTAACGTGTGTGTGTGTAAAGTGTGTGTGTGTAAAGTATGTGTGTAACGGTTCTTTTCCGTTGGATCGAGGGGGCTAAACGGGCACGACACGGGCTAGAGAAGAGATGGAGCTGATGCGGTTACGGGAGGACGTGGAGCTGAGCGGACTTGCGATGAGCGGTACCAGCGGTGTCAAGATCGACCTCTGTGGAGGATCGTGAAGGACGCTGCTGCTGCTGGGCAGTTGGAGGCAGTCGCCCTCCAGCGCTAAATGCCTTCAAGCTATCAATTCCGGTTCAGTGATTCTGCACTTGCTCTATTACTATAGTACTATGCCGCCTTCAACTTTAACGAACGATTGTGTGTTTAAGGTGATCGATTTGTCGTATTATCTGGCTGTATAGCAAATGAAAAAATACAATTACTTGACTGTACAAGTAAAAAAATTTGTGTTTTCATATTTTAGTGTTTTTATTTATTTAAGGCTTCTTTATAACATCATGCTACAGGCCTCGCACTAGCTTAATCCGGATACTGTTGTTGTAATAACAGCCATAGAGGGTTCACGTGGGGATTGGCTTTCCGGTCCTGCTTTGTAGCCAATAAGGGATGAGCCAGGGAGCATGGCCTCGGCGTGATCGCGGCATGTTAGCAGGGGTGATTGGCCTGGCCAATCGGGGCCTCAGCTAATGGGGAGCCGGATCAGAGGCGTGGTCCCGGGATTGACAGGGAACCATCGGGAACGGTCAACGCTGTCCATGGAGGATTGACTGGGGGGTACCACGTGACGAAGGGATTAAGAGAGAGAGAGAGAGGAGTCGAGAGCAGACTTTGGAACGAGAAGAGCAGGAGTCACGCGCATACGGGGGCTCTGGGTGCCACGTGCGCGGTGGGGACTTGGCGGGAAGTCTGCCCTCTCTCCGTTGTCTGCCAGCAACGTAGAGTGTGTGTGTAAAGTGTAACTGTGGAAGTTGAAAATAAAAAGGACAGATTCCGGAAGCCGTCTCAAGAAGGTTTATTACATTGTGAGCGACTGCACAGGGGACAATCTTGATTTGAAGCTTTCGTGACTGCAGGAATCCATACTCTTTGGTTCTTTCGGTAAAGTCACGTAGAAGGGAAATAATAAAATAATAAAAATTAAACATAATAAAATACAATTCTCACGACGTTTCGGCCACAACGCAAGCAGCCGTCCTCAGGTGAAGAACAGGTCTGTCGGAAATACAACATCTGAATGTCTTTCCGACAGCCCTGTTCTTCACCTGAGGACGGCTGCTTGCGTTTTGGCCGAAACGTCGTGAGAATTGTATTTTATTGTTTTATTTTTTTTTATTTTTTTATTTCCCTTCTACGTCACTTCACCGAAAGAACCAAGAAGATGAATCCCTGCAGTCACGAAAGCTTTAAGTCGTGATTGATTTTATTTTATACCTACGTGACTTCAACGAAATCACCAAAGAGTATAGACTATAGAGCCTTTGTGTGTGAATGGGATGGTGGTGAGCGGTGGCGCAGTGCTTAGGGCACTTTCGTTAACAATTCAAGGCTAAACACATCAGTGGCGATTGATATCGAATTCTTAAGGGCGGCGTCTCTCCTAGGTAGACTCGGCCTTTAAATATAAACGTTTAGTTTCTGGTTCGTAGATTAACAACAGCGTGTGGGGGAGACAAAGGCGGTCGGGCGTGTTTCTTGAACGCTGACACCAACTTGCCAACAACAATCTGTTAAGGCTGTACGGGTCGAACTTTGTCTTTGTATGTTGTTTGTGTATTTTTTTTTAATAAAACAACAAATATTTAAGCGGGCATAAAATGGTATTTTTTTTTGTTCACGATGATGAAATCGATACAAATCTCTCACTTTCACCGATCACAATTTTTATTGGATTGAACATGAAGTCATGGCTCTAAACACCACAATTATTTGTGTCTGCAAGACAAAAGTAAAACACGAGATTGGACTTGTTGACCAACAACGGAAATGGGCGGCATGCATGCTCGCGTAAATAAAACTTTTTTTTAAACAATGTGTTTAAAGACCGTAATTCATTTTGGGGGAACAAACATCGTCAAGTCATTTCGCACGATTAATAACGGGTTAAGTCTTGAAAGTAAAACAAAATAAACTCGATGTTACCTCGGGAATAACGCGACGGTGATATTTTGAGCTGGAATGACGGCATTCCTACATATACCGTCAAAGCAAAATCTGCGTATTATTATCTGGTTATATTATTTTTTACACGCATTGTATTTTCCACTAACTCGTTATTAGTCGCGCGAATGTGTATGTAGATATAGAGTTAAGGTGGTCAGCATTTTTTTTTGGTGGGAAACGGTCATATTTAAAAAAAACAAATCTAATTGTAGATTTGTGTTACGTTCGCCACCAAAAAAAAGGCGTAAAGCTGTCTCCTTTCTCGCCACCCGATCACGAATGCGTCCCGTTGCACGTTTCACAAGTACGTAAAGGGAAGGAAAAATACGGGTTTAGCGCAAGGGATCTCTTAAAAATCATTCTCGTAAAACCAAACTAAAATCTACTTCCCACAAAGCGCTTGTCAACTACGCCGACCCTCTTGCAAGTCTCAAAGACGCGAGAGTGTAATTTTGGAAACGTTAACTTGAGTTACATCTCTTTCCCCCGGTTCAAAAGAGCCGGACGTAATATTCATCAAAGGACGCAGACCAGATATTGTCCATTCGTTCGTTACTACTACCAAAGGGTGACACACATTTTAGTCGCAGATACCCCCAAAACAAAGATGAAAAAAAATCTCTAAATCCAAGCATGAACTCGAGCTGAAATCCATGACAAGGATCATGAAGTTTTTTTGTTGTTAAATTTATCATCGAACATGCAAACTCGAAAGAAAAAAAAACCTCCACACACCAGATGAACGTGAAAATTGGGGACAACTCAATAAAAAAAAAAGATTCATGCAGACTTTTAAAGAACATTTCAAGCAGTCGAAAAAGTGGCCTCTACCCGAAACTTTCCCGACAGTCCGCTCAAACATTTTTTTTCAGGTGGCCTCGATGACAACTCTGGAGGGCAATCCCCGCCTGCACTTCAAGCTGCCCCACACAACAACCCGAAGAAACATTTAGGGCAACAACAAAAAATTTCCCCCAAGGAAATGATCTCACGTATATATTTTTTTTTCAGAGAGAGCAGCACTTAAGAAAGAGGGGAAGGGCTCCACTACCAACTAAACCTTCTCCACCCTGGGAGTTGGCAGCAACGCACGGCTTTGCCATGACCCCCTCTCCTCGGCAGGACTTCTTATTGAGCGGGTGGCGGCGCGCTCGCGATCTCCTTCACCTCCTTCATCAGTCCAAGGCTGGACATGGTGAGGGCCGTCAAGCCATCTCGTACGCCCTTGAGGGTGTCATCCAGCTTGGCCTTCTTCGCCCGCTCAGCCAGCGCCGCCAGGTAGGCCCACATCACGCCGCGCTTGGACTCGATGAAGCCGCGCACCTTGATGATGAGCGGCGCCGATTCGTGCAGGTGGGCCGTGGCGCGCTCAATGCCGGCCTTGGCCGCCTGCAGGATGGGCACCAGCTTGGCGTTGGCCGCCTCGGCCATCTCCTCGGCGAGCTTGTGCGTCGTGACCCCCTCGGGGAGCGCCTTCGCCTGGAACTCCTCCATGAATTGCTCCACGAACTCGCGGGCCTCGGTCATGATGCCGTCCGCCTTGTCGCCGCTGACCGCCTCGCCGTAGCTGTGCAGCCTCTCGAGCGCCGTCTCCAGGTACGTCTTGCCACTGGCCGGCACCAGCTGCGTCTCGTCGGCTTGGACGTAGGCCGCCAGGACGAGCAGGAGGAGGCCTGCCGCGTGGGTCATCTTCATCGACAGCATGGTGGCGCTTGGAGTTGTTGGGCTGGTGGTGGTCCGGTCTCTCCTTTGACAGTGGCAACTGTCTGTGTGCAGAGAGGAGGTCTCGTTGGCTGCTGGAGAGCAAGAGTGGAGAGTGGTGGCGGTGGTGAGTGCTTATATAGGGATCGGCTGGTCCACCAGCTCCACGTGTTGACCAATCCCTCCTCCCTCACCCCCCCCACCCCCATCCTTGTCCTCATACAGGGCCGGGCCAAAGGGGTGGTAGCAAGAGGGCTCCCGCCACAAGAACGAGGAGGTCTGGCTGCCTGCCGCTTGGATACCGGCCAGCGGGAGTAAGCCAGGAAAATTTGTGGACACGGAGACACGAGGAGCTGAGATTGCATTGACAGGACATGGTCAAGGTACATTTGATGATGAGTGCAAAATGCGTACATGCATGTGCAGACATTCGTGCATACATAATCAGACATGCATGCATACATGCGCAACAAAGCCAAAGGCATACACACACGCAAGACATCGATCCCCCGTATATCCTTGACAGCCCTTTTGGAGGAAAGTGCTGTTTGTGAGCATCTATGATGACCTACACTGAGCACCAAAGGGGTGGGTGGCCAGCACCACGCCCGGCCGCATCATCACGGTGGCTGTGAGATGTTAACTACCTCGCCTGGTATGCAGGAGCTCGTGGGTTCGATCCCGAACCTGACGCCTGCTGTATATTTGGAGTTTGTGTGTCTATCTCTTTCTCGTCATCATCATCATGGTGGCTAGGAGATGTTAACTACCTCGCCTGGTACGCAGGAGGTCGTGGATTCGATCTCGACCCTGACGCCTGCTGCTGTATATTTGGAGTTTGCGTGTCTATTTCTCTCTCATCATCATCATCACGGTGGCTAGGAGATGTTAACTACCTCGCCTGGTACGCAGGAGGTCGTGGATTCGATCCCGACCCTGACGCCTGCTGTATATTTGGAGTTTGCGTGTCTATCTCTCTTCCATCATCATCATCACGGTGGCTAGGAGATGTTAACTACCTCGCCTGGTGTGCAGAAGGTCGTGGGTTCGATCCCGACCCTGACGCCTGCTGCTGTATATTTGGAGTTTGCGTGTCTCTCTCTTACTCATCATCATCACGGTGGCTATGAGATGTTAACTACCTCGCCTGGTGTGCAGGAGGTCGTGGGTTCGATCCCGACCCTGACGCCTGCTGCTGTATATTTGGAGTTTGCGTGCCTCTCTCTCTTTTATCATCAACACGGTGGCTAGGAGATGTTAACTACCTCGCCTGATATTCAGGAGGTCATGGATTCGATCCCGACCCAGACGCCTGCTGCTGAATATTTGGAGTTTGCGTGTATCTCTCATCATCATCACGGTGGCTAGGAGATGTTAATTACCTCGCCTGGTGTGCAGGAGATCGTGGGTTCGATCCCGACCCTGACGCCTGCTGCTGTATATTTGGAGTTTGCGTGTCTATTTCTTTCTCGTCATCATCATCATGGTGGCTAGGAGATGTTAACTACCTCGCCTGGTGTGCAGGAGGTCGTGAATTCGATCCCGACCCTGACGCCTGCTGTGTATTTGGAGTTTGCGTGGGGTTCTTGTCTTTGTTTGTAGGGGGATCTGCGTAACGTGTGTGTGTAACGTGTATGTGTAACGTGTGTGTGTGTAACGTGTGCGTGTTAGTGTGTGTGTGCTGTATAAAGTGTGTCTGTAACATGTGTGTGTAACGTGTGTGTGTGTAACGTGTGTGTGTGTCACGTGTGTGTGTGTAAAGTGTGTGTGTCACGTGTGTGTGTGTAAAGTGTGTGTTAGTGTGTGTGTGTAAAGTGTGTGTGTGTGTAAAGTGTGTGTGTAAAGTGTGCGTGTTAGTGTGTGTAACAAGTGTGTGTGTGTGTAACGTGTGTGTGCGTGTAAAGTGTGTGTGTCACGTGTGTGTGTGTAAAGTGTGTGTGTAACGTGTGTGTGTGTGTGTAAAGTGTGTGTGTAACGTGTGTGTGTGCGTGTAAAGTGTGCGTGTAACGCTTATTTTTCGTTGGATCGAGGGGGCTAAACGGGCACGACACGGGCTAGAGAAGAGATGGAGCTGATGCTGTTACGGGAGGACGTGGAGCTGAGCGGACTTGCCGATGAGCGGTACCAGCGGTGTCAAGATCGACCTCTGTGTAGGAGGATCGTGAAGGACGCTGCTGCTGGGCAGTTGGAGGCAGTCTCCCTCCAGCGCTAAACGCTTTCAAACTATCAATTCCGGTTCAGTGATTCTGCACTTGCTCTATTACTATAGTACTATGCCGCCTTCAACTTTAACGAACGACTGTGTGTTTAAGGTGATCGATTTGTCGTATTATCTGGCTGTATAGCAAATGAAAAAATACAATTACTTGACTGTACAAGTAAAATAATTGTGTGTTCATATTTTAGTGTTTTTATTTATTCAGGGCTTCTTTATAACATCATGCTACAGGCCTCGCACTAGCTTACTCCGGCACTATTGTGAGCGACTGCACAGGGGACAATCTTGATTTGAAGCTTTCGTGACTGCAGGAATCCATACTCTTTGGTTCTTTCGGTAAAATCACGTAGGTAGAAAATAAACAATCAATCACGACGTTTCGGGCGCAACACACACACAAGCGTCCGTCATCAGGTGGAAAGCATGGTCATCCAGCCGTGGATAGATCATGGTTAGGTGGTGATGATCAGCAGGACCATGCTTTTCCAGCCTGATGACGGACGCTTGTGTGTGTGCGCCCGAAACGTCGTGATTGATCTTCTTGGTTCTTTGGGTAAAGTCAAGTAGAATTGAAATAATAATAAAACAGGGCTGTCGGAAAGACAGCGTCTGAATGTCTTTCCGACAGCCCTGTTCTTCACCTGAGGATGGCTGCTTGCGTTGTGGCCGAAACGTCGTGAGAATTGTATTTTATTATGTTTTATTTTTATTATTTGATGATTTCCCTTCTACGTGACTTTACTGAAAGAACCAAGAAGATGAATCCCTGCAGTCACGAAAGCTTTAAGTCGTGATTAATTTTATTTTATACCTACGTGACTTTACCGAAATAACAAAAGAGTATAGAGCCTTTGTGTGTGAATGGGATGGTGGTGAACGGTGGCGCAGTGCTTAGGGCACTTTCGTTAACAATCCAAGGCTAAACACATCAGTGGCGATTGATATCGCATTCTTAAGGGCGGCGTCTCTCCTAGGTCGACTCGGCCTTTAAATATAAACGTTTAGTTTCTGGTTCGTAGATTAACAACAGCGTGTGGGGGAGACAAAGGCGGTCGGGCGTGTTGCTTGAACGCTGACACCAACTTGCCAACAACAATCTGTTAAGGCTGTACGGGTCGAACTTTGTCTTTGTATGTTGTTTGTGTATCTTTTTTTACAAAACAACAAATATTTAAGCGGGTATAAAATGGTATTTTTTTTGTTCACGATGATGAAATGGATACAAATCTCTCACTTTCACCGATCACAATTTTTATTGGATTGAACATGAAGTCATGGCTCTAAACACCACAATTATTTGTGTCTGCAAGACAAAAGTAAAACACGAGATTGGACTTGTTGACCAACAACGGAAATGGGCGGCATGCATGCTCGCGTAAATAAAACTTTTTTTTAAACGATGTGTTTAAAGACCGTAATTCATTTTGGGGGAACAAACATCGTCAAGTCATTTCGCACGATTAATAACGAGTTAAGTCTTGAAAGTAAAACAAAATAAACTCGATGTTACCTCGGGAATAACGCGACGGTGATATTTTGAGCTGGAATGACGGCATTCCTACATATACCGTCAAAGCAAAATCTGCGTATTATTATCTGGTTATATTATTTTTTTACACGCATTGTATTTTCCACTAACTCGTTATTAGTCGCGCGAATGTGTATGTAGATATAGAGTTAAGGTGGTCAGCATTTTTTTTTGGTGGGAAACGGTCATATTTAAAAAAAACAAATCTAATTGTAGATTTGTGTTACGTTCGCCACCAAAAAAAAGGCGTAAAGCTGTCTCCTTTCTCGCCACCCGATCACGAATGCGTCCCGTTGCACGTTTCACAAGTACGTAAAGGGAAGAAAAAATACGGGTTTAGCGCAAGGGATCTCTTAAAAATCATTCTCGTAAAACCAAACTAAAATCTACTTCCCACAAAGCGCTTGTCAACTACGCCGACCCTCTTGCAAGTCTCAAAGACGCGAGAGTGTAATTTTGGAAACGTTAACTTGAGTTACATCTCTTTCCCCCGGTTCAAAAGAGCCGGACATAATATTCATCAAAGGACGCAGACCAGATATTGTCCATTCGTTCGTTACTACTACCAAAGGGTGACACACATTTTAGTCGCAGATACCCCAAAAACAAAGATGAAAAAAAATCTCAAAATCCAAGCATGAAGTCGAGCTGAAATCCATGACAAGGATCATGAAGTTTTTGTTGTTGTTAAAATTATCATCGAACATGCAAACTCGAAAGAAAAAAAAACCTCCACACACCACATGAAGGTGAAAATTGTGGACAACTCAATAAAAAAAATGATTCATGCAGACTTTTAAAGAACATTTCAAGCAGTCAAAAAAGTGACCTCCGCCCAAAACTTTCCCGACAGTCCGCTCAAACATTTTTTTTCAGGTGGCCTCGATGATAACTCTGGAGGGCAATCCCCGCCTGCACGTCAAGCTGTCCCACACAACAACCCGAAGAAGCATTTAGGGCAACAACAAAAAATTTCCCCCAAGGAAATGATCACACTTTTTTTTTTCAGAGAGAGCAGCACTTAAGAAAGAGGGGAAGGGCTCCACTACCAACTAAACCTTCTCCACCCTGGGAGGTGGCAGCAACGCACGGCTTTGCCATGACCCCCTCTCCTCGGCAGGACTTCTTATTGAGCGGGTGGCGGCGCGCTCGCGATCTCCTTCACCTCCTTCATCAGTCCAAGGCTGGACATGGTGAGGGCCGTCAAGCCATCTCGTACGCCCTTGAGGGTGTCATCCAGCTTGGCCTTCTTCGCCCGCTCAGCCAGCGCCGCCAGGTAGGCCCACATCACGCCGCGCTTGGACTCGATGAAGCCGCGCACCTTGATGATGAGCGGCGCCGATTCGTGCAGGTGGGCCGTGGCGCGCTCAATGC